TGTGTGTGTGTGTGTGTGTGTGTGTGTGTGTGTATGCGTGTGTGTGTGCGTGCACTGTGGCATGATGTACCATGATGACTCACACAGCACAACACTAGTGGAGGCTGTTGTCAACATAGACAATTGAGGGGGGGGGTTGGGACTATAAAATTGCTAAAACATTTTTTTCTTTAAATATTGTATAAAGGAGAAAAAACTGAGAGGGAATTGTGTGAGGATGTCATCTGTGTTCCTCTCCTCTGAGAATGATCCCTTGGAGACAATGTTTGCTGTTTTGTTCTGTGGTTCAGTTCTTTGATTATCCTGCTCGTTATAATTTTCCCACAAGTGTCTTTGTTAAATTTCACTGGGATTTCAACAGCTGGTACTAAAGTTATGAGCTGAAGCAGACAGCACTCTCTTGCCTGTTAAATCCATCCCCCTTCACCGTGCACAAATATTGCTGCATGCAATGTAATGAAGGTGAAGGTTAGTAGGGTACAACGGGGCTAAAGGCGCCCCGAGGTAAAAGGCGCCTTTGATATTATTTTCATCTAAACCACTAGATGGCACAAAAACGTGGCGTAGCACTTTCCAAACCATCTTGCATTTCAAGATGCACGTGTATAATTGTCTGGTCCTTGACGCGATCGCGCGCAGCAGTGCAAAGTTGATTCTGTGCTTACTTGATCTAATATTTTATGTTTTTAAAAATGTTGTAGATTTAAGTAGCAAATGAGAATCGCTAAAATTAATGCATATATTATGAGACAAAGGTCTTCTTTATGATTTTCACTTTTGTTTAAGATAATTAAAGCAACAGTTTTTAAATAACGAAACAATATGTATAATTATGGTATTTGGGGTAAAAAGTGCCCCTGCTGTTGGGGCTAAAGGCGCAGCGCCCCGGGGTAAAAGGTGCCTTTGATATTATTTTCATCTAAACCACTAGATGGCACAAAAACGTGGCATAGCACTTTCCAAACCATCTTGCATTTCAAGATGCACGTGTATAATTGTCTGGTCCTTGACGCGATCGCGCGCAGCAGTGCAAAGTTGATTATGTGCTTACTTGATCTAATATTTTATGTTTTTTTTAAATGTTGTAGATTTAAGTAGCAAATGAGAATCGCTAAAATTAATGCATATATTATGAGACAAAGGTCTTCTTTATGATTTTCACTTTTGTTTAAGATAATTAAAGCAACAGTTTTTAAATAACGAAACAATATGTATAATTATGGTATTTGGGGTAAAAAGTGCCCCTGCTGTTGGGGCTAAAGGCGCACAGTAATTAACATGATAATTAACAGATGGCTGACTTTTCCATTTGTTGACATGACATGGTTAGATTCAGATGGTAAATATAATATATTATGTTAATATAATCACCATGATAATCACCATGTTTAGAATGAAACCATCATATTTAAAAACATGATATTAATCATATCATATAAAATATCATTTGCTGTTACTACTGTAAATATATATTCAATTATTATTGGATCTCCTTCAATACTTTCAGAATCTTTACTTATTAAAACAATTTTGTTTCTGTATTTTAAAATATATTTTTATATTAACATATTTTAATGACAGTATATTTATTGAAAAAATGTTTTATTTTATTTTACAAAATAAGCAGAAAATAGTACAGACTTTGCTAAAGTGGTTGTTTTGAACAAGTATTAACTTAGACATTATTAAAAAAAAAATCATTATTTTAACTAAAGTATTTGTATCAATACCGTGTGCCTTTTACGCCATGCTGGTGAGCCTTTTACCCCGTGTGTGGGATAAAAGGCCCCTCTTGCCACCTCATACATTTATAAGATTTTTAAACAAAATAAACAACTTGAATGATTTATTTTCACACAAAATATGTTGCTCCATTAATGTTCAATATATATTTTTCTGCAATTATACATTTTAGGCGCAGTGAATGGCACATTTTTTATTAAGGTGGGCCTTTAGCCCCGTTGTACCCTACCGCAGATGAAACTGCAGAGAGAGCAGAGACAATTGTACCATAAACACCTTTGTTGATGTCCAGATGGCAGTTTTTATTTGCATTGCTGAACACTTTAAATGTAAAAATGCAAGCTTTGTGTTAATGTTTAGAATTAAGAATTGTAGAATTGTTTGTCAAGGCATTTTGCTTTTTTATATATATATATATATATATATATATTATTTTTTTTGTTTATTGTTTTTTTTTTTTTTACAGCATTAATTATTTATTTATTTGTGGGGAGAAAAAAAAATATTAAATGGTATACTTAGCTCATGCAATGACTGTAAAGCTTCAAGAAGGACAAAAAGCACCATAAAAGTAGTCCATAAATGCACTATATTCATCTGACAGATTTGTGTGAGTAAATTCAACATCACTGACACCATCAAACTTGCTACAACATGTCTTATACCTTCCATACCAGAATGGACGTAAACATGATTTAATTTGAAAGCTCCAATGGAGGAGCTTTAATGAAATATCACTTAAATTTAGAAGTCCTTGTCACTTTAATGTATAACTAAACAAAACTTTCTAACTATATGCTTTCAAAAAAAAAAATCTGGTTCTGCCACTTAGGTAGATGTTCACACTTAATTATTACATCAATGCATTTGCTTCAGGTCATATGTTACTCGATAATAAAACCTGAAAAACTCAGCAGAAACTGGTGTGTTCAACATGGGAAATGATCTGTTGATCAAGCAAAACAATGCTAACATTTTTTATTTAATGTTTTATGTTGAAAAGACAGACATCAAGTAGCAATATTTTAGTCAATGTATATAATAGCAGCAGGTAGCTCGCGTTTACTGTTTGGTATTAGTGACTCGGTATTAGTGTACTGGGCTTTGTGCAGTATGTAAACCAGGCTTTGAAACAAAAACCTTTTTTTTTTTGTACTAAGAACATCTGCAAAATGATGTGGAATGGGTTTAAACATTTAAATGCTTTAAACAGAGTTGAGAGTACTATGCTCTTATTGGTAGCTGAAATAATCAAATTTGCCAAAATATTAAATAAGTGAACACATGGATCAGGGGTGTGTAGAACTTTGTGAATGACGTGTTTCAATTAGGAAATATGTGTGGCTTGCTGAAGATTCTTTGTGAGGTTGCCATTTATATACCTCCATAAAAGCTTTTCTTTCTGTCAATTAGTTGCCGCTGAGAGGGTGTGATGGGCAATTTGATTCCCAGGCTGAGGCACAATAGCCAGGCACAGAGCATTCAATACTTCTTGAAACTACCAAATTTACAACAGAATGGAATAGTGCTTTAATTACTTACCTATTATAGATCATCTTTGAGGTCTCACATCAATATGAAGATTGGCTTTTTTATCATCTTCTGAAGATGACTTCATTATTTATTTGTTTATTTATTTATTTATTTGGTCATTTTTTTATATTAGTGACAGTTGGAGACATGGGAATTATATCTTAATATATATATATATATGTGTGTGTGTGTGTGTGTGTGTGTGTTTAAAAATCACCAAATTGCCAAACATTACTCACTTTGACAGGCTTGAACAAGACTGATTTTAACTTCCACATGAATTAATCTTGCAGATATCCGTGGACTGCAAGTGTTTCTGGACCAGACATCAAGACAGGGTTTGGATGTGTCTCTGCAACGAGTGGATAGGAACATCAGTGGTGTGTTTTCCAGTTTGTTCACCTCCATGCGCACAGAGGAGCTCAACCGCTACAGGGACACTCTCAGAAGAGCTATCCTGCTCCTGAGCCCACATGGAGCACAGGTCTTCATCCATCAGGTATGTGCTGTCATTACCGTAAACTCTAGGACATAGTGGTAAATGGAATGAGATGAGCCAGTGGATAGGCTGAGCCACCTCTGGTAACTACTTGTCATGTCAGTAGGGGTGTAAAGATTCACAAGTTTTGTCAGTGCATACATTTTGAAACATGGATTTTTGAATCATGAATTTGCTGCGGTCAGTAATCAACTGAAAATGCTAAACATCTAATGAATCATGATTTAGCAAAGTATCGATAAAAGTATCAAGATAAATATAGAATATATATATATATATATATATATATATATAATTACTTACATTATTTTATTAATGACCGTTTACTTGTTTACATCAATATTTGCTTGGGAACTTTTTTTACTTACATTAGGCTAGTATTAGCTTTTGCTGTGGTATCAAAATTGGTACAGATAATTGTGAAATTCACTGGCATCTAAAGTTACAACCTTACCATAACAGCTGTATTTCCAGCAAAAAGAACTTTATTGTAATAATATCATTATCAAAATATATGTTGTATATCCCACCCCTACTATGAATGTACGTAAATACATTAAAGGTGCAATAGGTGATTGTCTTCAGAAACATTTTTTGTTATGCTGGTTGAAAGTCTCTTCACATCCCGATAGCAATCATTAACACTAGCACTAAAGACAAAATGAGTAAAAGAAGGCGATTTATGAATGCTAAAGAGGTATAAGCACTAAATGCCATGAGCGATGGAGAGTCTGATGGTGGAGAGATAAGTAAAGCGTCCTGTCGGCTCAGCATCTGACGGCGATCAATATATCATATTTAGACGTTTTATCCTAATGTTACTCATAATTGTTCAAAATTTGAATTAATTATTTAATTTTTGTTTTGCCATTTCTATTGTTTATTGTTCGCTTCTGTTTTGCTATTTATTCTAGTCTCCCTGTTTCCTGAAGAAAAAAAAATCCGATCTGATGTAGGCTAATGAATAAAACCTTTTTTTTTAATTACCCGAAGTTTATTGGTGTTCTTCTTGTATAATTCAAATTATAAATGATATAACTAAACAAATTAATAATTAATTAGGTGAAGCTGTGCGCTTGAATTTGTCATCGCATCATCCTATGCAATGTGGTGAATTATTATTGCTCATTATTGTCTATAGGCTATTTTAGTAATTTAAATAACATAGGTTATCTTAATATATTGATTAATGACATTGTATTGTAATACAATTGTACAATTGTACATATTGTAATACCCAAATATATATTTACTTCCTTCTAATTCTCGTTGTCAGTGCAGGCTTGTTTAGCTTAATATTGACCGTTATGAAAAGTGACTAGTGTAGCCTGCATAAAAAAGTTTTGAACATAAAACAACAGGACAAAAATATAGTTGATGACTAGACATAATCATTTCATGACTCTAGACACTTCTTTGTGAAGACAGTAGCATAATACAGTGAAATAATATGTTCTTTAGCCATTCAGAAACAGCTGTCATGTGCGTGGGTAAAATTTACCCGCTGGCGGTTTTAGGTATACAGCGACCTCTGGCGGTTCTAGTGTTAAATTAAGGGCTCTAAATGTATTTATATATTCTGTGGAAGGCATAGGACCAAGAAATGTTCGTCCAATCAAAATGTTCAGACATTATGATAGGCTTTCCTACCTGCCTGTCAACATATGTATTTGCATACCTCTGCGCACCCTGTTCGCTCAGACAGGATATGTCATCAGCGTGTTCACGTACACTGTGCAGACAGAGCGAGAATGGCAGGCAAACAACAACAACCTGATCTTCCTTCCTTCCTTGGTATTGTAGTACTGTTACGAACTCGACTATAAAATTTTCTCACCGGTGAGTGACATGATGTATTGTAGTAATGTTGTCTCTGGTCGTCTGGTCTATGAGCGTTTATGCGTTCAGGAGGCGTGGCTTTGGACGGCGATTTGCAGGGAGGGTGGGACATACACTTTCAGTGCTATCAGGCTAAAGTTAGCATTTTACAAGATGTCCTACTGCACCTTTAATTAAAATTGAATCAAATGTTATAGCGACATTTAATCATTCTGAATTTACAAAAATTGTTCCTGAATCAGGTCAGAAACCTGTGAATCATGAATCTAATCGATTTGCTGACTACCCGAAGAGTCACACTACTAAATGTGACCACATAATCAAAGCCTTTATAGAGAAAGTCATCTTGCCATCGCACACGCTCATGTACAGTTTCCATAAAGGAAGTCATAGCAAATTTGTCAAAGCAAATTTACGCAGATGTTTGTGACAGATTTGATCCTATAAATGATTTAGCTAAAGATTAATCCTGATTTCCAAATGGTGTATGTGTGACATTATTGTAAATTCCTGCCATATTAAATGTTGTCCCTGCCTGGAGGACAACTTGAGTAAAAACTGGCTTATTATGCCCTACAAAATCTGTCACTTTTTTTTGCATCCCTCCATAATGACTGTACAAATGACCTGTCAGGCCAGCACACCTTTACTGTCATTATCTCAGCATCTGAAGTACACTCCTCCACTGATCTGAGGTCACACACATCGGATAACATCACACATTGGCCTTAACAAGCTCTGTGGGATCTGAACTGGAATCAGTCACTCATGCTGGCAGGATGCCCATCGCTGTCAAGAGCAAGAGCATGGCGTTCTCATGCATATGGATATACCATAAGACAATAGTCGTCTGTAATCTCCCCTGCTCATTGGAACTGTGATTTTTATGGGAAATGAGTATCAGCTAGTTTAGCATTTGATGCTGTATCCTTTAACTGTAAAGATGAATGAAATACAGATTAGACATTGCAGTTTGGATGGATTTGCCATTCCACAAATCTAATGGGAATTCTTTAAAACAAGAAAGAATAAAGTAAAGAATGAGTTTATGGAATGTGTAAGTGTGGATAGATAGCTGGATGGATGGATGAACAGAACAAAAACCCAAAAATAAGCTGACAAATAAGTTAATTTGTGAATGAATTTGAGTAAATAGAATGCATCAGTACTTACAACTTTTAACCCCAACATGGGTGGATATGTATGTATTTTAGGTTGTATTCAATTTTAAATTAAATTCAGTTAGAATATATATCATTTTAGCCAGTAAAGCTTCAAAGGGCAAGTATAATGCATAATAGTGTACATAATATTATACGATTCAACTTTCATTGTATTTCTGAATGTTTTTACCGGTGTCAAGTCAAGTCAAGTTAACTTTATTTGTAAAGCACCTTTAACAATACAGATTGGCTCAAAGCAACTTTACAGTATTAAATATGAAAATAGTGTGTTAATAATTCAAAATGACAATAGTAAACACTACATTTTCAGTTAAAGGCAGTTCATCATTGAATTCAGTGATGTCGTCATCCAGCTCAGTTCAGTTTAAATAGTATATGTGCAATTAAGTCGAAGATATCGCTGGATATTAAGTGTCCCCAACTAAGCAAGCCAGAGGTGACAGCGACAAGGAACAGTGTGCTCTAGGGCCGAGCCTGTTGTCATGTTCTCCTGTCATCCGGTTCCTGTTTGGTTTCTTAGCTGATAACTTACTTCTTCAGTTTATCCCACAACAGCACAACACACCATCTCATGACAGATAAGTCAAAAGTAACTGAGCTCAGTGACTAAGCAAAGGGGCTTACTATCAGTTCAGCTCAGCATCTGGATACTGATCATAGATTATTCAGAATCTAAAACTCTTCAAATTACAGTTTCCTCCTACTGTGTGATGTATTGTGTGAGGTTTCTTTGGGGTTTGACATTTTACATTATCACTAGGTGTGAAAATTGCTCTACTTTTTTGATACATTTTGATCTTGTAAGACCAATGGAAGATTGAACTTAATTTGAGTCTGCATTCCAGTACTCTTTACTTGTGAAAGTGTATTTGAGACACTATGATGTCTGAAAACAATATAGGGCAATGTGCCTTGAATTTCATGGATAGGCAGATAGAAATGCATTCATTGCCACTGATGGCAGGCTCATTGTAAAAACAACAATTCTATCAAATTATATTACATTTATCCTTTAAAGTTTCACGGCACTTTTAAGTGAAATGCCCAGTAAGTGGCTAGAAAAGCTTGTTCATTTTTACTGGAAACTAATGAATGTGAATCTGGCAATGTTTTATTAAGTTGGTTGTGTATGCATCTCGGCAGTTCGAAAATGAAATTTCCCGTTAGTGGCTCTAAAAGGTTAATGCTCTATTGTGTTTGAAAATAACGTACCAACAACACTAAAACACAACACAACAAAAAGCAAAGGTGAAATAAAAACACATTTGGTGAAGCAACCATGCCATTTTAACTTGCTTCTAAAAGTCTTTGAGCTCTTTTATTGACTCATACCCAAGCACTCAGCATTGCAAGTGCGATTCGCTACTTAGGTGAGTAACCTATGCCAGGAAACTCGTATAGAACTGATTATGTGATGCTGACATCAATTCATCCACTGTGCTAAAGGTGTTTTAAGATCATAACACAGTATTATGCAAAGAAACCACACAAAAATGTCATGTATTAAATCAACACTCTGCCCCTGTAATCATATGAAAAGGTGAAAAGGAGAAAGAAAGGTGTTTTACTGTTTAATGTGTTCATTGCAGCTGGAAACTGCAGCATACCGTATATATAAATATAGATGGGTACAAACACATCACAAAGTTACAAAATCACAAATGCTTTGATAAAAATAATGCACACAATACTGGTGTGAGAAATGTACAGTATGTAACAATATATTTTCAGTCTATGTAATAATATTTCAGTGCTGTCTTTCTGTGCATTCTGGAGATTACTGTACTCTATGAAAAGAGAGTACAGCAATATTTTTGGTTTGCCGAAATGAAGGTTTATTTTATTAAGGCATATTTGGATAAGCTCCAAATGTACAGTTTCCACTAATATATGTACATTAAGCTTCCATTAATGCACACGGCTGTAATGTATTCATTTGAATTTTAGTTTGTTGTTCAGTTTTGTTCCTGTTCCCTT